TTGGTCCAGCATGAGGGTTCTTGTCAGAACAAGTGCCCAAACCCTTAGCCAAACACTGCCAGGACCAGTGGCAGAAGGGAGCATCAGCAGGCCCCTGCAGTTGGAGCTGCATGAGCTCAGGATCCTCACACTCTGCAGTGGAGAACTTCTCAGCAACTGACTCCTCTGGTGGTGGTTCTGCTCACACCTTTGCTATGATTGAATATGTGCAAATTAGCAGCCCCTAATGTGCTGATCCTGGATATGATTAGTATACATACTGGCTCTGCTATCCCATCCAACTGGCCACAGATTTGGGGGGATATACAAATGCAGTAGCCCTGGCATGTTGCCGCTGTTTTCATGTGGCAGATCTCATTGGGACACAGGCAGACCTCAAGTGTTGCTGATGATCAAGTGCTGGTGCTGGAATTGGAACTCCTGGTCCTAATTCATTTGCTTACCTTCATTATGCTCCTTTTTTTCCCCCACTACATGTTTCTTTGTGCCACATATCTCCATCTGATACACTGTATTTAATCACATGTGTCTGTTTCCATCCCCTGGAATGTAAGCTTCAAGAGGGAAGGACTATCTGTGTAGTTTGTTATTAAATCCCCAATGACTTAAATCCCCAACAAATACTTATGAATAATAATAATGAATGGATTGATGGATGGGCTGACCCTATCAACCATAAGAATAAAATTATAGTGATTAAGGCAGAAGGAAATAAATTGTTCTAAAAAGCTAGACAAATGAGATAAAATCTAGAACCCAAAAATAGACTATTCTGACTGGAAACTTTGTTTATAGTAGATATGTTATTACAAATCAATGTAGATATCACAGACTAAGATAAATAGTACCAGGAAAATGCATAGCTATAAGAAAATTTATTGAATCCTGACCTCGCATAATATAAAGAATGTCAATTCCAAGTGGATTAAACCTTCTCTGCTGCTGGCTTTTCTATGGCTCATATAACCACCTGACACACTTGGTATTTTGTGTTATTTTTCTTTTAATATGTACTGTCTCTCCTCTGTAACAACTCAATGGAAAAATGGGTATATGAGGCCTGTCAGAAAAGTATCCATCCAAGTAACATGAAAAATAGAGATATTTATTGAAGAAAATATAAGATACAAGAAATATTGTATGTAGAACAATGATACCTCAGTTCTCTTCAAAGGAGGTGCCTTGGGACCTCACACAGTTTTCCCAATTGCCATCAGCTGTCCTATCGTATTTTCTGAATCTCATCAACAGTATGAAATCTCTTCCCTTTTAAAGGTGACTTTAGTTTTGGGAAAAGCAGAAGTCACAGGGCACCAAATCTTGGCTGTAGTGGGGCTGAGTCACCTGGGTGATTTGATATTTTGTCAAAAAACTCTGCACAAGACATGATGCATAAGCAGGCACATTGTCGTGATAAAGCTGCCAATCACCAGTTGTCCAAAGCTGCAGCCTTCTGAATCATCTGAATAGTTTCCATGGAGGATGTTCAAGGTTAATGAAAAATTTGGTTCAGATTTGTTGCTCTATTTGTTCAGTCATTTTGAACTGTGTATGATGGCCACACAGTACACATGCTCACTCAACAGCTAGTACAGTGAAGTCATCATTGTTCATGCATGTGCATTCCAGTCCACTCTCCTTGGTTATCAGGTTACATCAATGTCACACAAACTGTTTTCATTATATTAACAGTGGCTAGACTTCTTCCTGATATAAAAAGACCTCATATAAAAAGGCAAACTGCTGAAGAAGAAACCAAAAATAATAAAATAAAAATATTAAAAGAATTTTTAATCTCATTAGTAATTTAGAGAAAAGTGTGTTAAAATATAAGAGACTTCATTATCTATCAGATTGGAAAAATTAAAAGTTTGACAATACCAAATGCTGGTAATGAGGTAAATTAATGCTGGATTATATGAATTGCTAGTGCCACCTTGTAGAGCAATTTGTAATATCTAATAACTTTGAAGATGCATATACTTTATGCTGTGGCCGAACAAGTCCATAGAGAAATCTCACATATGTGCCCGAGGAGAATAACAATGTCCATTGCATCATTATTTGTATTAGCACAATTTGGAAATAGTTCAAATGTCCATCTGTATTGATGATTAAGTCAGAATATCAATATATGATCAAATACTATCTAAATGCTAAGATGAAAGAATTGAAGCTAATTCTGTGAAAGTATCAGAGACTTTAAAGCATCTTTATCAAAATAAGCAGGGTTCAGATGGACACCTGCAATGGGATACTATTCAAACTAAGTTTTTCAATATGCAAAACAGTCTAATATATTGTTTATGGAAGCAAACATGTATCAGAAGCAGAAAAACATGCATGAAACTTTAGGAGAGTAGTTATCTTGGAGGAATTAGGAAGAAATTGATAGGGATTTACATTTATTCACAATTTTTTTGAAGGAAAGTCTGTAGCAAGTATGACAGATGATAATATGTGACCAGGCTGGGAGGCAGTACATGGATTTTTGTTATAATTATGTCTATACCCAACTTCATGCTTGAAATATTTAATAAGAAAAGAAATAGAAGGCTATTTAAGTGTGACTACAAGGGAATAAGTTCAAGCCATAGCGTATCAGACAGTAGTATGTGTGAAATTGTCAACTGGATTTGGTTGTGAGTCAAAGACTGGGTGCAATTCCAGATGCAGTGCCTTCTTTTCATAACAATTGATAAGACTGGGATTTGAAACCAGACATTCTAGGTTTGAATCTTGATTCAGATAGTCAATATTTTAAAACTGGGAATCAGTTTTTCTGTTTTTGAAGGATTCGTGATTAAAGACAAAATAGAGAATAGAAAAACAACAGAGAATCAACAAAACCAAGAATTGGTTCTTCAAAACAATCAACAAAATTTACAAACCTTTAGTTATTAAAAAAAAGTGATTAAAAAGTGATTAAAAGTGATTTAGTGATTAAAAAAAAGAAGAGATTCAAATAAGCAAAATCAGAAATGAAAGGGAAGATGTTACTATTGATGTTACAGAAAAAAATCATTACATAAAGTAAAAAAAACAGTACCTTCTCATGACAAATACATGACGATGAAATGAGATGTTTGTGCAGTGCTGGGCATACATCATGGCACATGATGAAAAGGAAGACTTGTGCATATTTAAGAGTTCTGGATGTGGATGTAAACAAACATGAGCTTGAAGCCTGGTTTGAATGCCATGCATTCTCTAACCTTTTTTTATTTTTTACAATAACCGTACCAGGTTGGTGTTACTTTTATGCCATTTTATACATAAAAAACTGAGCCTCATAGAGGTAAAATAACTTGCCCAAGATTACCCAGCTCTTAAAAAACAGAGATGGCATTCAAATCAGGTCTACCTTCAGAGGAATGTAACTGTAAATTATTGTGGCTATATTTCCCTGGTTTTATTAATAAACTAAATTGAATTTTATAAAACACTACAATAGTCTATCCTGTAGCTTTTTTTTCCCTTTGAGCAGGGAGTCAACCAGCCATTGCTGATTAAAAGTAATAACAAGTATCTACTACTTAGTTTATGTATGTGCAACTGCAAACATGTAAAATGACTGAGTTGCTGTAATGGAATATTGTTACTAGATAAATATTTTTGCCTTAAACAGATTCTTGGTTTTAGAATACACAGGAAGATCAGTAGGCTGTGATATTCCATTATGTTGAGTTTTGTTTTTTTTTAACCATAGGCTTTTTCTAGGTTCCACTGCCTTTCCTGAAAAATGACTCTCTCTCTGCTTGCCATCCTCTATCTTCTGTGAATCCAAATGGAACTTAACTTTTATTGTCACTGATTATTTTGAATGAACAGCTTTCTTAATGTAATTTTTGTCATGTCAGTTTTATTTATTAAGTCTTTTATTCACTTATTCATTTTTTTATGCAGCAAATATTGAGTGACAACTATGAGCTCATCTCTGGACTAGGTTCACAGACTAAGGGTTAAACAGGGTGTAATGACTTCCTCAGTGAAGCTCAGAACTAGAGGGGGACAGAGATGGGAATGGATAATTTCAACATGGCATTACCTTCAGAGTGAAGTTATTGCTGAGGGGCATGGAATGTGGTGTCCCCAATGAAACAGGGGACCTAGGACAGAAATGATAAGGTTGCAGCTGAAACTTCTGTTTGTATGTTTGTTTTCTGTCTAGAAAAATAATGCATAGTGTTTGTAGAGAATTTGAAAAGCATAAAGAAACAAGAGAAAAATAGCCTACAATCATACTATAAAGAACTAACCACTATTAACCAGTGGCATATTTTTAAGACCAACTTTTACACAGATGAGCTCAAACTTTACAAACAATTTTGTTATATATATTTTCCCATATCCTGAAAAAAATTCAATTATTTTTATATATGCATAAGATTACCCTATGTAGAAATACTAACATTCACTTTATATTCTTATATTGGTTGTTTTCCTCTTACAAATTACATTGTAATGACTATCTCTGTGCATAAATATCAGTCTGAAATTGTGATTTCTTCCTCCAGAAGGAATCCTAAATGTGACTTACAGATTAGAGGGTATGATCACTTTTACAGTTCTTGCCTTTTTTTCCAGTGCCCTCTTCTTTATAGATCTCAAGGCAAGAGCTCAATCCTTTAAGGAAGTCAAACAAATTAAAATATGGGGAAGTTCTTTCAAAATTCTTACATGCCTCTGTGTGTGTCAGTGTGCACACACATCTCAGGAAGAAGCACCCATAGACACACATAGTCACATATCCTGACTCCCTCTTACCTAAGAGGCATTCTGCCTCATTTCTTGCCAATTACTTACAAAGGGCTATATTTGTTCATGTTTTTGTTGTTGGTGGTGGTGTTTTTGTTTCATCCATCTCTGTATTTCCAGGACCTGGTGTACGATAGGAACTTAGTAAATGTTTCTTGAATAAAAGAGACAGGAGAAAAATAAAACCATTAAATCATTAATGTTTACTTTTTGTTTAATACTATATTTTGTTTGTTTTTCAGCATTCTGCAAGATATGGTGGTAAATCTTGGCCCCAAGTCTTCATGATTGACGGGCTCTTTTGCACAACTCAGAGGTAAAGCTAGCTGTATTGCTGGTGTGAGGAAAATCTTTCTCTCTGGGAAATTTACTCTGGAATGTCTTTGGGTCCTCTTGAAGTGATGGCTGTCATGCTTTGTGTTCCTACCTAAAACACCCTGGGGGGTGCATCATGGAGCCTTCGGCAGCTGGGGCTTAGGGTACCTTTTCGCTGGTCTATTATGTATTTGTGGTTAAAGAAAGAGAATATTGATTCTCTTTCTTCTCTTTAAGTTCCTGGTAAATGTCATTCAGAGCCTTACATTTTCCTGCCTGGATTTTAGCCTCACATATTAGGTAGTCTCAGATTGGTTTGACTTTAAACACAACTATGTTAGCATTCTTTCTTCAAATGTCCCTGTCTCAATATGTTTACCAGAAGGAACCATCCTCAGTTGTGGAAACTGAAGTCAAACCATATGTAAGATAAATGTTTACATAGGAAACAGACTTGGAGATTTATGAGCTTAAGAAGCAGGTGCTATTATTTTGAGGTCTTCCACTTTTAAATAATGGCAACATTGAATTATTTGCTTCATATGGGGAGCCAGGAAGGTACAATTGAAAACGCCTATTCTTTTGAGAAATTAGAAGTGTTCATTCCAATATCTATTCCTTGCTTACCAGGGATAATGCTGAATGAATCACAGACTGGTGGATGGATGTCCCTTCCAACACTTTTAATTAGCAGCACTGCCCATTAGGGTGAACAGAGTGTGTTTCCCTGCAGTAGATTACCTCACACCCCCTTAAATGAAGTAGAAATCTTATTCTCCACAAGGTAATATTTATCTCTTCCCCAGCCAGACAAGCATAGAAAATTAAACAATGGTCCGTTAAAAAGCCCAGCTAATGTATTTATCATTTCCAGTTTATGTGAGTTTGCAAGGCAAATATGAGTGGTAGCTATTTGTTATGGGACCTTGGGGAACAGTGGAGTTGGAGAGGGAGCTGGGAGGCTGGAGGATCTGAGACTTGTAAAAATTCATTAAAAATATGAGGAGCTATTGGAGACAGAGGAAATTAATTACTCCAAGGGACTCAAATGTCACTACTTATTTAAGTGACCTGGAGAGGAGGCTGAAAAACCTGTTTTCTGAGTGTGTCTGTATAGGAGAAGGTTGGGAGCTGGGATTCCTCAGCTGTCAATTTTTGCATTTCCTTGGTGACTTATTGACATGTTAACCTGGCTTGTGCTCCAGCCTCCTCTAATGAGTAGAGTTAAATGAGAAGTGGGGGTGGGGGTGCAGGGGAGCACTCTCCCCTGCAGGCTGGCCAGGTCATTCAGAGGAGCTCACCAGGCATGTAACTGCCAGACCTAGGGGAAGCTGGTAATTTACCACAGTGGAGACAGAGGCAGATTGTTTGCAACTGGACTGAGTTTGGTCTTTTATTACTGCTTTTGCATCCACAAAGCTATTCTCTGAGGTGAAGTGAATTTGGGAAGACAAATTATGGTTTCCTACCTAAGGAGGACTGGGGAGCAGTAGCTTCTGAAAACAGTCATCTTTTCGAGATTGCTTGTCTAATAAATCTCTCTAATGCATTCTGCCTATAGACAGGGGTTGAAAATATATAGGTACATGATGACTTAAAAGTTCAAAATCAGTAAGCACCCAGAGTGATTCAGTAAAAGCTTTCTCACCTATGTGCCTTACTGAGATGGAAGAAGTAAAGGTTTTATTCTGAACTCTGCTGCTCACCAGCTGTCAGACCCTCCCCAAGCCACCACAGTGCGCCCAGTGTCTGTCGTATTATGTACAAAGTGGAACAATCATGGGTATCTTCTGTGATTGTTAAGATCAATGCTCCCAGAAGAGCTTTGGGGGATGGAAGTATGAGACAGGTGTGCAGTGACCATGCCATGTGTTGGCCACTGGGATGAAAAATTCCCTGTTTTCAAAGAGTCTTGGTCTTTAGGCAGTGGGGCTGTTCTGGGGTCTCTGTTCCTACCTGGGTCAAAGCAGACAGGCTCTGCAGTCTTCTCCTGGCTTATTCAGTAAGGAAGAGTGCATCAACACACCAAAGAAGACTCAACAAATGAGGCCCTGAGGACTGCTTTTGGGGAAGATGTCCCATGGTTTGGAAAAAAAATAAAGAATGTGAAGCATAGCTTTGGGAGTGTTGAAATCCTAGGCGTTCACCTCTGGGAGCAGTCCTAAGCAGTGAACACTTCCCCAACTTGAAAAAATACTGTCCCTTTGAAGTGGAGACAAATCATGCATTGAAGGTGGTGATGTTGGAAGATTATTCATTTATTCCTAGAAAGAGATGATGATGAAGTAAATTCAGGCAGGGTCAGTGGGAATAGAGAAGAGAGAACTTGGAGAGGTCTTGGAAAGGAAGGGATTCCAGGCTTTTCAGTAGTCAGGGTGGCATGTGCTTAGAAGAGGGAGCAGTGCAGTGACTCTAAGCTGGAGAGTCTTCCCAAGGCACTTGTAATGTCATTAATAGAAACCATAAAAAAATGCTGGATACAATCCCTTTGCTCAAGGAGCTCAGACTGGTAAACAATGAACAATCATAGAGTAGACACATAAGCCCCGGGCTGAGAGGGAGGGGGCTGTTGAGCTGGACCTCAGGGAATGAGCAGCCCCATGCTGGATGAGAAAAGGTTTTAGGAAGGATGTTCTACAGAGCAGCTGCTCACAGCAGCTCTGAACTACAGCTACCCAAGCGCACAGTAAGGATGCCCATCTGAGAGCTGCACAATTGGTTTGCTCCGTTTCTCCAGCAGCCAGCATTTTGCACAGCAGCATGCACTCAGTGATTTTCAAAGGCCTCTGTGCCATTGTTGTCTCCTGGAAATAGACTTGAAGGATTGCCTGCCTGTTCTCATTAACCAGCCCTGATATGACCTAGGGTCTGACCCGTCCTGAGAGTGCCCAGAAAGCTTCCCCAGAGACCCAATTCTGAATAATTGCTAAAACCACTATTCCCATTCTCTGGTGGGTTTTTTTTAGCTTCCCCCCACCCCACAACAAGTTATCTTTAAAATTGCTTGAAAGTCTTCAACTGGCATTACTGAGCTGTTGGCTATTTATTGTGTGGATAGGATGTGTCTGCCTATACATTCATTTGTATTCATTTGTAGCATCATAGGTGAGACATCATTATGCCTTCCCATCTGGGCAATAGGATAGTAATAAGACAGGAAAATTTTTTCTGCTGTTCTTCCCTTCTTCCCCCATCTTGAATTCATTCCTTTGGTGCCTTGTATATGCTTCCTCATTTGCTTTTATTTTCTCACATTCTGTCTGTTTACCCTTCTACTTTTCCTCTCTCTTCTGATAGAATCACATATGCTCCAACTTGGAAGGAAGTAGGAGATTCTAGATACCAGGGAGCACAACTGCAAACTTTGAGAAGGTTCTTAACCACATGGTAATTCCCCTTATCTGTTATTTTTGGTGGTGGTGTTGCTTTTCAAAGCTGAATGTCTTGGATTTGAATTTCTGCTCCAACACATAACAGCTGTCTCGCATTGAGCAAATCATTCTCTTTAAGCTTCAATTTTCACATCAATAAAAATCAAGTAGCAATAATACTTTCCATATAAGACAGTTGTAAGAATTTAATGAGAGAGTACATATGAAAGGGTCTGACACATCATATATTCTCAGTGAAAAATGTTAACTATAATTGTTGCTTAAAATAATAATACAAGCTATTATAAAGCCTTAAAAGACCAAATGCAGGTGTGCTGATCTTTGGCATCAAGGAAAGGAGAAGCTGGGAAGACTTTCCCACTCTTTGGCTGGTCTTAGAAAATGGAAATCTCCAGGGACAAAGGCGAGGAAAGCAGCCAAAGCTGTGGATGCACAGGCAGCCCTCCCTGGCTGCAGGGTGACGTGGGTGCTGAAAAGTGGAAAGGCCTGCCTGGACCCCTGAGTTGCTGCTGGGCCTCAGGCAAGCATCTAATCAACCATCCCCTAGATACAGTATTCCTTCCCACGTGGTGTGGTGGCTTAGTAATGTGCCCACTTGGCTGGGTTGAATTATATTATTCAGTTTTGCTGTTTTTTTTAAATCCTCATTGGGGGATATGTTTATTGATTTTAGAGAGAGGGGAAGGGAGGAAGAGAGGGAGGGAGGGAGGAGGAGAAGAGAGAGAGAGAAGCATCAGTGTGAGAAAGGAACATCAATTAGTTGCCTCTGGTACACACCCTGACTGGGGATTGAACCCACAACCTTTTAGTATATGTGACAATACTCCAAGCAATTGAGCCACCTGGCCAGGACTCATAATTCAGTTTCTTATATGTTTCTAGTTAGTGTGGGCCACAGGGACATTCTTGGGATATTTGGAAGATGGAAAGAAATCAGCAGCCACTTTGTAGCTCACACACTGCTGCTGATCTGCTGACTCACTTTGTGGGTTCACTTCATGGACTTGAAACAGCATCTGGGCCTGCAGCTGCTCTCCTGTTCCCTGGATCATCCCAGCTTCCCCAGCTCCTCATCTCGATGTGTGTGTTTAGTTCCTTGAGAAAAAAATCCTCGTTCCACTGGTCCTCCACATCAGCAAGTTGGGAAGCAGGGCAAACTAAGGTTCCTGTTAGTTCTCAGGGAGTTTCAGCTCATGCTTGTGGTTTCCAAGCTGCTCCTCATTGGTCTCAGATTAGCTCCTCTTGGGGTAGGTAAAGGCCAATGATGATCAGATGTTGAACTTTAGAATTCGCAACAGAGGAACAAATTAGTATACTCTTATTTTTTTAATAACAAGGAATATCTTGAACCAGTAATAACCTAAATTCTTACACTATTCACAGTCTGGCATAATAACTTTTTGCCTAAATTATTTTTTGAAGAAGGCTTAGGTTGAAGAAATTGGGTGAATATTTGTTCCTTTAAAAAATGGGTGTGTATAGATGTGTGAGTCTTATAAATCAAATACTTATAAAAATTTTATAGAGCTGACCAAAAAATGGTAAAACACTGAAATATGAAAGGAGGACTAAAAATTATCTTAGATGAACCAGAATTTAAAACTAACAA